CCCACACCCCCACAAAAAAAAAAAAAAAAAAAAAAAAAAACCCTCCATTACAGGTTAGGTGTGAAGTTTCCTATCAAAAGTGATATGCTTTCAATCAAGTTTGCACGACTTGAAGGCATACTCACACTAAGACTTTCCTGAATGCATGTAACTGCAATTACAGCCAGACCTGGATGAATCTTACTGCAATCACGTCCAGAGCTTAGGAGAAAAAGTCCTAGTGTGAGTATGCCCTGATGTATATAGAGTTTGCTTGAAGTCTTTATAAATCACAACACACGGGTAGAGAAGCAGGAGAAACTTCCGAGAAAGAGAAGAGGAGGAACGAGCAAGAAAAGACATGTCAAAATGCAAGGAGGGGGAAGGACGAACAAGCACCAAGGGAGGGAAAGCACACAATGAAGGGGAGGACAAGTAATGAGACGGATGTGGGGCCCACCGTGGCATTTTTTGGGCGGGGGATGGCAGCATGGAAGTACCAGTACCAGTACCAATCACAAGAAAAGACAAACGAGCTCCCCACCGATAGAAAGGAGTCACATCAACCCGCGGGGCTATGCTAATGGGGCATGCTCTTACCAACCCCAGTAGCAAACACCTCGCCCCAGGGATGTTTGTTTTTAAAAAAAAAAAGAAAGAAAGAAAGAAAGAAAGAAAGAAAGAAAGCCAAAGGAGCTGACCTGGAAAGACAAACAAATGAAGTGCCTCTCCTGAGGCACAATCCACGATCAAATGGGTGGCCATATATTCCTCTGCATCCTGTGGCTCCGGGGCAACTCTCACTTCACAGATGCACGCCAGAGATACGACAACCCGCCTCCACCAGGGCTTCATCGCAGGAGGCAAAGGCTTGTCCTTCTTCCGTTCTGCATCGAGTCACATTCGTCAACACAAGTTCATAAGCAAAGTTTCATTAATCGAGCATATTAATGACAACATCGTGGAAAATGCTGCACGAACTCAAAGATATATCAACCGAAACTTCAGAAAGCCTTCGGCCCTTTTTCACTGCAGTAAGTTCAAGTAACTGAAAACCGGTTCCTTCTGCCAAAACTGTGCACTGCCATGTCCATGAGCATGGACGCTCAACGCTCGTACATGGCTCACCCCCTATCTCCTCACTCTCTCACTCTCTCACTCTCTCACTCTCTCACTCTCTCAGACTCTCACTCTGGGTACGAAAACTGGGGTCTGTATTTCAACAGCTAAGGGGTGACATGTGATGGCAACAGCTCAAATGGTAATGAATGCTACACCCATGAGCTGTTGAAATACAAGACCCCAGTTTTCTAAGTTAACCCAGACGCAACCAGATGACCAGAAGTTCAGAACGCAATCATTTTCTGAAGTACCTGGGGTCAGTCAGTTCAATGAACTTGAATGAGGATAACTCAAGACTGTGGCCCTGTTATCCAAATTAAAAAAAAAAAAAAATGAGAAAAAAATAAAATCCAAAAACATGGTCCAAGAGGGGGTGACTTGTGCATGGCAGCTCACCGACACTGATGATGTCAACAAGTGGGATGAGCGCAATGATCGCAGTTTGCTGACGCCTCCCGTGGCTCACCAACACTGCGAGTTCCTTCGGTGTGATGGCTGCATATCTTTCCTCTGTCAAAACCCAAATCATGACCCAGCTGATGTGTCAGTCAGTGTCTCACTCTTTTTTTTTGGGAAAAAGAAAGGAAAAAAAAAGCCGCAGCCTTGAGGCTTCAGATATCAGTTAACCAGCCCCCCTTGGAAATTGAGAGTTGTTTTCACTCATCTGATTCCATTGGGATTCGAACGCCGGTCTGCATTTCCACAGTTTTAAAATGCACCAACCAACTAAGCTAAGGCCAGCCGGTGAGCTTATCGCTGTACTATCACTGCACACAGTGTAGAGACTGTCTCTTATACACATCTAGATGTGTATAAGAGACAGCCTAAGGACAGGTGGAAGGATGGCGGGAATTTCCTTGAAAACCCCCAAGGAAACTTCCTTCGGCCCCGAGGACGCCCCAAGGAGTGTCGAACGAGCCCCGACGATACCTAAAGGCCGCCCGTCGCCCTTTCAAAAAAAAAAAAAAAAAAAAAAAAGGACAGGGAAAACCCTATTAGCTCCTGAATAGTGACCTACACAGCAGTCTGCAAGATACTGACATGAAAGACAGTGGCCACTCACGGGTAGGATTGCACAGTATCAAACAAACAAACAACCACAATGTTCAGGGACGCTGGACCCACTTTCCAGCAGGTGGTGGTCCCCACCAGTAGATGGAGCCTCCCCGGGAGTGCTAGGGGTGCCGCTCTTATCAGCACCCCTCGCACCGACCCAGACTGTTTGAAAAAAAAAAAAAAAAGGATAAATAGAGAGAAGCGCGAGCTGCCTAAGAAGCAGCAGCAGGTATTGCCGATATGTAGGTGGTCACCACGACAGATGGGGCAGGAGCAGGTTTGGGTGTGGGCTGTGGAAGAACCGCACCCAAACCTCGCAGTGACAGCCAGTCTGTCAAACTGTGAGGCACAGACAGATCTTACAGGCAACATAGCTTCCACATTGTCCTAATTAAAAAAAAAAGAAAAAACCCTTCCACTTGCCAGGAACGCCAGCATGGCATGTGTGGGTGGGGGAGGGTGGGTGGGTGCCTGCCAGTTCTTTTAGAGAGGGAAAAACCTTCAAAAAAGTTCAAAACAACAACTGCAGATATTCGCAAAAAAAGAAACAACCACAAACGTGCGTTCGTGGTTGAAAAAGAAAACAGACACAAATGGCAAAAAAAAAGAAAAAAAAGTGTTACACAGTGCACGTGGCCAGTGCCCTTACAAAAAACTCAAGTGGATGAGCCACCACGATCACAAACAAGAAACGATGCGCGCTTGAACCGCCACCATCACAAATGAAAAGCCACATGCACACGACATGCCACTGGCCATGCCCAATCACAGTGCACCCTGCCACTAGTGCCGACAGCTTAAAAAGTGTGCATGTCGCACAAAACAAAAACAAAAACAAAAACAAAAAAAAGAAAAATAAACAAGAAAAAGAAAAAACGAAAGCCACGGTCGAAACTTTGACCCGTGCTTTGTTGGATTGAAATATCTGTCTGACAGGGTTTGAACTCGAACACCGAAGCTTGAACCCCCTTGACTACTACCATCTTCTTCACCCGAACAGAGCGCCCGGTCACCATATTTGGGCCAACTTTCACTCTAAATACACCAATAATGACCGGGCGCCAAGTCCCACTTACCCGGATCCTCCATTCCCGACCGTAGATCACGGAAATCAACGGCCAGAAATGAAGAATCCGGTAAAGTGGGACTTGGCCCCGGGTGTTCTCTTCCCATAACCACAGTCGTAGTTGAACGACATAGCCCCCCMCCCCCCCCCAAAAAAAAAAAAGTGATTATATAATCCATGCATGTCGGATGTGATTTTGTACCCTGCAAACAGCACACCGTGGTTGAACTTTGCACTTTGAACTTTTAACTTTTTGAACTTTGAACTTTGAACTTTGCACTTTTTGAACTTTGAACTTTGGACTTTTTTTGACTTTGAACTCTGAACTTCTTATATATTGCACGGTCGCCCTCCCCAAACCAACAAGAAGAATCTGAATACGATTCACATTGAGTCTGACTGAGATCGGGTTGACATTTTGTGCCATTATTTGTTTGTCTTTTTGAAGTTTGAACTCTTTGAAGTTTGAACTCTTTGAAGTCTGAAATCTTTGAAGTTTGAACTTTGAGGTTTGAACTCCTGAAGGTTGAACTCCTGAAGGTTGAACTATTGAAGTTTGAACTATTGAAGGTTGAACTATTGAAGGTTGAACTATTGAAGTTCGAACTGTTGAGGTTTGAACTCTTGAAGGTTGAACTATTGAAGTCGTTGAACTATTGAAGTTTGAACTCTTGAACCCCCTGAGTTACAAGTAACAGCAGCATGCCCTGTGAAAAGATCACAGGGTTTGAAGTTCAAACTTCTTGCACATTGTGAGTTATTGAGCAGCACGTACTCAAATATAAATAATATGTGTACAGGGTTTACCATGGAAGTCAGGGCATAGTGACACGGGGAGCTAAGGACCTTAAATCCCAAAATTTGAGGGCATTTTTCGGGGGTGACGTTGGAGAGGGGCCGCTACCCGAATGGCTCAAATTGGGACCCTTCTATCAGCGGCCTGCAAGGCCGCGTGGAGGACCCTTTTTGAGACCACCTCCCGAGGTGGGATCAAATGACCTTTCAATTTATTTTTTTTTGCCATCTTAGGGCGTCGTTCGACACTCCTCGGGGCATCCTCGGGCTCCGAGGATGAATCCTCGGAAAAGTTTAAGGTTTTTGTCGTCTTCGTTCCACTCATCCTCGGAGCATCGGTTTTAGGACTCGTCCTCGGAGCAATGTCAGAAAAATAAAAGGGAAAAAAAAAGAAAAAAAGTTGTGCTGCAGGCTTTCAGCCAATAGGGTGCCGCCACGATCAGAATTCTCGGTTGTAACGTCTCTCTACGTGCATGCCCTCTCCTCTCCGTGAAACACGGATCCTCGCGAGGTCCCTTGGAGCCGAGGACGATTTGGCTGGGAAATCCTCGGAGCCCAAGGATTTGTCCTCGGAGTGTTTTCACATTTCTGTTCCGAAAATCGGCTCCAAGGACAGGTGGAACGACGACGGAATCCTCGGAATCGCGTCCCCGAGGAGTGTCGAACGACGCCCTTACCTTGTTGCAAAAAATAGTGGGCGAAGAAAACAGCCTGCCAAACAAAAGACAAAAAAAGAGATGGCAATGAATCTATCTACGTTCTAGCGGTGGATTCAGTCTCATTTTGCACATTTGGAGAGTAGTGCAGCGAGGCCCATGTGCGTTGTAAGAAGAGAAAAAAAAATCCATCTACTTTCTTACGTTATTTTGGCGTGTACAAAATAAATAAATAAATAAATAAATAAATAAATAAATAAATAAATAAATAAATAAATAAATAAATAAATAAAAATCCATCTACTCTTATGCTCCTCACCCGTGTGACTACTCACACTTGCCCTCAGGGTGAAGTGCCAGGGCCGCGGCTTCGTCCTTTCTGGACGAAGTCCGCCCGTATGACCACACGAGGACCTGAAGTCCCAAATAGGCCTACCCAAATGCCTCAAATTTTTGAGACCTTTGGTCCTCGTGTGAGTATGCCTTCAGAATAAGGTACATCTTGTGTGATGATTTTCAGTTTTTTGAACATTTTTCTTTTTGTTGTCACAGCACAGAGCAGAGGGAAGCCAGAGAGTTTGTTGCAGGTTCTCCCATTGCATTCAGATCTGGCTTTCATTTGGGGATTCAATTCAATGAATCAAGGCTTTTGGTATTTGGGCACCATACAGGGCCGGAACAGATCAAAAGGTGGTTTTATTATGAGCACAATTGACGTGGTGAATAAACTTCAGTAAAGGTTTCAGGCAGAAAAAGAAAGGTGAGATGACAAAGGGGAGAAAATAGCCAATGCAAATGAAGTTTAATAAAAACATAGCTTCAATGAGCAAATGAGAACAACAACCAATGACTTCCATGCGTTCCCAGTGGGCTCTATCACTTGTCACTGCTGCTACTACTACTACTGAGGAAACAGAAAGAGAAACAGGTTCTTGTAGTTGTAGTAGTTGTTGTAGTAGTAGTAGTAGTAGTTGTAGTAGTAGTAGTAGTAGTAGTAGTAGTAGTAGTGGTAGTAGTAGTAGTAGTAGTAGTAGTAGTAGTAGCAGTAGCAGCGGCAGCAGTAGTAGTAGTAGTAGTAGTAGGTAGTGGTAGGTGGTAGTAGTAGTAGTAGTGGTAGGAATAGGTGGTAGTAGTAGTAGTTGTAGCAGCTACTACTACCACTACTACGACTACCACTACTACGACTACCACTACTACTACTCCCACTACTACCACTACTACTACTACTACTACTGCTACTACTACTACTGCTACTACTACTACTACTACTACTACTACTAGCCTCGTTCCACACCACTTGACAATACTTGAGTTTCAAGTGCACACTAAATGAGAAATTGTGATTAATTTACACTTACTCGATTTATGGTTCCATGTACACTTGAGGAAACCCTTGAACAAGATCTCTGCACTTGAAACCGAACTCCACGGCTTGACCAATCCTGGACCAGGATCGCCTGCTGGAAAAAAAGAAAAACGAAAAAAAGCCCCCAGTCGGAGTGCTGGAGGTATCCGCTGGCACTTGAACTCAAGGTACCTCTTGGAGGTGACTTGAATTCAAGGGCAATTTTGGCTGTGTCGCCCTTGAGTTTCAAGGGTGCACCCTTGGGACGCAAAAAAGTGAAAACAAAGGGGGTCGCTCTAAGGGGGGGGTGGAACAATGATTTTTCGCTTCGCGCTTGAACTCAAGTGGTGTGGAACGAGGCCCTACTACTATTGTCTACCGCGTGGGCGCGGGGAACGCAGCCCTAAGGTAGCCAAATCAATGAGACTAAGAGCTAACACAAGAGAGAGAGAGAGAGAGAGAGAGAGAGAGAGAGAGAGAGAGAGAGAGAGAGAGAGA